TTATTTTGTGGGGGTTTTGATGATTTCTTGAGATGAAAGTGATTTTTTCGAGTGTTGTTTTGAGTGGATTAGTGTGTACTTAGGTTGGGTAATTTAATCTAAGGAAAACTTGAGAAAAGAAATCGATTAAAGGAGATTTAGGATCAGAAAATGAGAGGCAAACTTTGTCGAACATGGCCGAGGGAGAGGCTGGGGCGGCGCGCACCAGATGCACCCAAGGGGCTGGGGTGTCACCCCTGCAGTGCACCCATATACAGCCTCTGAAGTTTGGAGCTGGCGCCCCGCGCACAGAACGCGCCAGGGTTGCCTTCCCCCACTCCTATTTTGTCAGTTGTCCCGTTTGAGTCCCTTTTAAGTGTACCTTCACTCCCTTTGATTTTAATCACTCTAAAATACTTCTAAACACCTAGAAATCATTCATAACATTATCATAACCTTGAATTCATAATTCATAATTCAAATTCAAGGTAGAGCTAAGAGTTAAGTTTTGAGAATTCTTTCGAACATTCTAAGAAAGTTCCTTTAAGTCCGTTTGTGGAGTCTTCTACAACTTTTAGTAACTTGTTTCAAGACTCAAGTAAGTGAGCATGAGAGTGAGGAGAATGTATTCACGAGTCTACACTTCACCTAGATTTTTCATATCATGAACCATGACTCTTGAATTCATAATTCATATTCAAGAGAGAGTTAACAGTAGAGTCCAAGAAAGTCTTTGAGTTCGAGTGTGAATCCTTTGAGATCAACTATTGATTTGAACTAAGATTTGAGTAAATAAGTATGAGAAAGAGAAGATTCGTATACATGAGTTCCTTATTGATATTTGACCCTTGATTCGAGTCGTTCAAGCCCATAAATTCCGCATGAACTTCATAAGTTGAGTACCTCTGAGAGAAATAGTATCTTCAAGTTTTAAGTCTTGAGTATTGAGTTCATAATCCCCTGTGAAATTATATTTCTAATCATGGGACTATTACATGTAACCCATGAAGTCCTTGAGTTGAATTGTTCATGCCCATAATTCCGCATGAACCCTATAAGTCGAACAGTCTTGAGATGAGAAGTATATTTGAGTCCTTGAGTTGAGTAGTTCATGCTCATAATTCCGCATGAATCCTCTGAGTTGAGCATTCTTGAAATGAGTAGTATCATTAAAGTTCTTGAGCTCCAAGTATTTATTTCTATCTATGGTTATTGAAAACCTTGCATTGAGTCGTTTACGACCATAATTTGGTATGAACCATATTTTAAGATGTATTTTACAAACATTTTAACTTTGTTTTAAGACTTAAGATTTGAGTTGAGTAAGAGTAAGAGTAAAGTTCATTTCTTCAAAGATTATACGGGAACTAAGTATTCCCAAGAGTTAAAATGTTTTCACATTTGAGCAAGAAAGGAAATACAGATTTCCAAGAGAGTTTTTAAGCTAACTTTTGAGTAATTATCTCATACCATAGAAAGAGTTTTGTTTTTAAAACATATGAGTTGAGTATATCACTACAGGAAAAATGTGAATTACATAGGGATTTTCCTAGGGATTAGTATGAAAATCCGCAGGAAACTTATTTTCCTACAAATTTTCATACTAATTCTCAGGAAAATCCCCATGTAATTCACCATTTCTTGTAGTGTATTTTGGGAGTAGTATTGAGCACCGATATGGGGACGGGAGTTCATAATAACTCAAGTCTCCATAAACCATGTAGCCATCATGGGTAGAAAGGATCAGTACTTTTTAGATGACTCCTTAGTTGTTTTTAGCATAGACTAGTGGATCCACTTAGTTAAGGCGTTCTATAAGACGACAAAGTATAGGACAGTGCTGGCAGCGTGGGCAAGACATTGTATCATTAATGAGGCTCATAGTGGTAGTTGTCTGTTAGAGAAACTCCCACAGAGTTATATTGTATTCTTATATACACATTGAGTATTATTGTATTTTTCAATACATTGAGTTGCTATCCACAGTTTTACAACTTTCCATACATATTTCATCTTTTACAATTGCTTTATCCTTGAGTATCATGAGTTGAGTATTTCCAGTTGAGTATCATGACTTGAGTATCCTGAGTTGAGAACCTTATTACTGAGTTGAGTATCTTATCCTTAAGTACTTCTGAGTTGAGTAAGTTTGAGTAGTTTTGAGTATCCTTAAGTATTCCTTGAGTTGAGTAAGTTTAAGAAGAGGTAAGTATGTTTCCCTTTCAATCAAGTTTCAAGCTTATGTTATGCTTTAGAATTCCCCTTACATGCTCATACATTCCATGTACTGAGCCATTTGGCCTGCATCCTTTCATGATGCATATACAGGTATTTGGGATCATCAACAGGAGCTTCGTTGATACCATATGGAGTTCGAGTTAGCTATGGTGAGCCTCCTTGCTTCCGAAGGATTTCATTCACTTTTTAGTTATATCATTTGTTAGGATGTCGTGGGTCTTGTCCTATGTCATGGGTCTTGTCCCAACTTCCATCCTTTTCATTTAAAGGCTTCATAGATAGATAGTAGAGTTTCAGAAGTATGTTCATTTATTTAGTTAAATGTTTTAAAGACTTAAGTTGCCTATTTTATGGCGAGTTGAATAATTTATTTTTCTTCAGAGTTTTTCATTTAAGTTAAAGCTTTGTAATTGAGTTTCATGAATTTTATTCAGTTTTTAAGATTTTGTATGCTTGAGTTAGTCTTCTGCTTGTAGTCAGTCAGGATGAGGGTTCGCTTGGGGACCAGCAATGGTTCTCGAGTGCCGACCTCGTCCAGAGTGTAGGCTCAGGTCGTGACAAAAAATTACCTTCAGAGGTATCATCTTCCTCTTCTTTTTTTTGAATCATTTTTGTTTATAATATAAAGTTATAAAGTTACAATCAAGTGACTAATATAAAGTCACAATTAAAAAACTCCACTGCCCTAATTCATCATTGCTATTATTACTTTTATGGTTCCTCTATTAGTAGGGCTACAATGCAGACTCTAATAGGGCCGCCATTCCTTCAAGAGGATCTGTGAGAGCTCGTAGTACAAGGGTACGATGTTATTTTAGAAAATTATTATTTAACAAACAAATTAGAATGATAAAAAATCATAAAAGGGTTTGTTAGTTGTATTGGGCAACTTACATTTTATGTTTAATAAATACATGCAAGCTATAATCGAGGAAGAATGCCAAGATTAACACATGTATTCTCTTTGCGTTCAGGAATATACATCTAAACCTAATTTATATTACTAGTTGAAAAGTTAGTTTATGCAAGTAATTTTTTAAGCAAAAATAATTATTATAATGTGAAAATATTAACTTTTGTAATTGTTCAAGGATGGTAACATTTATTATTTATTTATTTATTTTTATTTATCAAATGAATGCAGTGAGTAGTCATCGAGAAAAATCCTCAATATCCAAATTCTCCACCAAGTACCTCCACAACAAGAGCTCCACGTTCAACGTACTTATATACTTTTTTCTGTTTCATTTTATATAATATTATTTTCTTATTAATTTGTGTCAAAATTTGAGGAAGTGGATATATGGGTGCTTAGACTATATTTTATTTTTTATGTGTTGAAATGTGAAATTGGTGGTGCAGACCAATTTCCAACATTTTATATAATCCAAATTATGCTGAGAATGGTCAATTACAAGTGGATTCTTTCTTACGCCTTCTGGCATCGAACTCGAATTTTCATAAATTTTTTATTCACGGATGCGCACGCACGTACGTGCACGTGCACACACACACAACACACATGCACGCATGTGCGCACGCACACACGAACGCACGCATGTGCACACACACGCTTGCTAATATGTTGATATTTTTTATATTTCATTTACATGCAATCGTAGAAACAACAACTGAGGAACGATTGAGATGGCTAGAAATTTGAAGATTCATTGTGCAAAATATTTCTCGGACAACATAAATATTGTCAAAAATTATTTTTGTAATATGATCAATCACAAAATAAAAAAGTGTTATCAAGAGACAAAAATAAATTAATTTACAATTCTCAAGTGGTTGTGACTTGTGGATATTTTATTTCTTGTTTAAAAGTTTCTATCATGATAAATCATTGTACATATATATACTTCATTGAATTATTTTATCATATAAACACATGATTGATAATTATTGATAAATTATGCTGAAAAAAAATTATGTATTTTTTATTTACCAATTGATAAATTAGAAATTATTTATGTACAAAGAACTATAATTACAAGCGTAATTTCAGAATAATATCTTGCATAATATCATAAATATAATTTTGCTTAGATTAAAAAAGGATAGCTTTTTACTAAATCTTTGGAACGATACAAATACAATCATATTTTATATATGGTTAAAATTCACCCCCCCCCCTCAAATTGATCTTACTTATCAAGAATTATTAAATTTGGATAATAGAAATTGACGTCGGCTCTTAATTATTAGGGTTGTGCAAATTAACGCTTAAATCAGAAAATTAAATATTTCATATATGTTATGTTAAAAGTTGATCTCCTAGCTGTGTTTCAGACGAGTTGCAATAGAGAAGAAGGAATGAAGAAAGGAAGAAGGAGAAGAAGAGAATGAATGAAACAGTGAAATAGAAATAACCGACTTAGTCTCTCATCATTTACAATGCCCTATTTATATCCAATACATGATTAGTAATCACACTAATTAACCTGCAAACTAACTCAATTGTTAAGCTAACTAATTCAACAAATAAGCTAACTAACTCTAACTAACTAAATTCATCACATGTAATACACATTTCAACACTCCCCCTCAAGTTGGGTGATGGAATATATTTAACATCCCCAACTTGAACAACATATCATTATGTAATTGCTTCCCCAATGACTTAGTAAAAACATCTGCCATTTGTTCTCTGCTAGCTATGTATTCAGTCTTGATCATTCCTTCTTGTAGCCTCTCTAATGAAGTGACAGTCTATTTCGATGTGCTTGGTTCGTTCATGGTACATAGGATTTGAGGCAATCTGCATTGCTGCTTTATTGTCACAGTGTAGATCCAGGTAGTTCAACTTGTGCTCCCAATTCTTTCAATAATCCCTGCAACCACACCAATTCTGCCACAGTATTCGCCATACTTCTATACTCAGCTTCAGCTGAAGATCTTGAGATTGTGTTTTGCTTCTTTGATTTCCATGAAACAAGTGATTCACCAATCTTTATACCAAACCATGTTATAGATTTCCTTGACAGTATGCATAATGCCCAATCTGCATCACAAAAGGCACTGATCTTCCTTGACTTTGTTCTACTCATTAATAGTCCCAATCTAGGTTGTCTCTTGATGTATTTCACTACATGTATTGCTGCATCATAGTGTGATTTCTTTGGGGCATGCATGAACTGACTCAAGTGTTGCACAGCAAAAGAGATGTCTGGTCTTGTCATAGCTAAATACAACAACCTTCCAATTAATCTTTGATAAATCCTCCTGTCTTCGAACTCAACATCATCAGTAATATTGAACTGATTGTCATATTCCAGGCTTGTGAGCTTTTGGTTCTTATCAAGTGGAGTGTTTGTTGGCTTTGAACTAGCTAAACCACATTCTGATATCAACTCCAAAGCATACTTTATTTGGTTCATTAGTATTCCATATTTTGACCTTGCAAACTCAATGCCAAGAAAGTACCTCAATTCCCCTAGATCTTTCATCTTGAAGTTATGATGTAGTGTATCCTTAGCTTTTTGAATTAGTTCTCTACTGCTTCCCGTTATTAAAAGATCATCCACATATATTAAAATGATCACAATGTCACCATCATCAGTTGTCTTAGTAAATAGTGAGTAGTCCAGTTTACTTTGGATGAATCCTGATTGTGTGAGAGCAATGGTAAGTTTCAGATTCCATTATCTGCTAGTTTGTTTCAACCCATACAAGGATTTGTGCAGTCTACAAACTTTGTTCTCCCCCTGGCTGCCAAATCCTGGAGGTAAGGTCATGTAGACCTCCTCAAATAAATCTCCCTAAAGAAAAGCATTGTATACATCCATCTGAAAAATACACGAATTAGACTAAGCAGCCAGTGCCACAACACACCTCACAGTAACCATCTTGACCATAGGAGAGAAAGTGTCATGGTAGTCAACACCTGCTTGCTTTGTGAACCCCTTAGCAACAAGCCTGGCTTTGTACCTCTCAACAGTTCCATCAACCTTAAGTTTGATCTTGTATACCCATTTACAACCAATAGGTGCTTTGCCAAAAGGTAAGTCAAAAATTTCTCAAGTCTTGTTGTCACGAAGGGCCTGAATTTCTTGGTCCATAGCAAGAATCCAACTACTATCCTTGGAAGCTTGTTCAAAAGAAGATGGTTCATGGAAGGAGGAGAGAGTGGAGAGATAAGACCTGTAAGGAGGATGGAGATTAGAATAGAAGATGAAGTTGGAAATAGGATGAGCAGATTTGGAAGAAGTGACATAATTAGTATGCCAAATGGGAGGTTTGAGGGCTCTGGTAGACCTTCTCTGTGGAGATGGAAGGGGTGATGAGTCAATGTGAGAAGATGGAGAAGTGAGCTCAGAAGTAGCTAGAGGAGCAGGAGAAGAAACAACAGGAAAAGAGTCATCTGCAGGATGAGGAAATGCTGAAAGAGGACTAGGAAATGTGGAAGAATGAGTAGGTGGAAGAGAAGTTAGGAAGGTGTGTTTGGGATGCTGAAATGGAAAAATGTCTTCCTTAAAAAGAACATCTCTGCTAACAAAAAATGTGTCATTGGCAATGTTATAGAGTTTGTAACCCCTTTGTGTGTCTAAATAGCCCATGAAAACAGAAGGAATGGCTTTAGGAGAAAACTTGTCAATGACATTTGGTGTAGTTGCATAACATAAACACCCAAACACCCTCAGATGATGCAAGGTAGGAGCATGTTTATGAAAGACTTCATAAGGTGACTTTCCATTGAGAACAGTAGAGGGTAGTCTGTTTATCAGAAAAATAGCAGTGAAGACACACTCCCCCCAGTATTTCAGAGGTACATGAGCTTGAAATCTAAGGGCTCTAGCCATTTCTAGAAGATGTTTGTGTTGTCTCTCAGCAATGCCATTTTGCTGAGGGGTATGCACACAAGTGCTTTGATGTACAATCCCAAGAGAAGATAATAGTGTGTGACATTGGTTATTAAAAACCTCAAGGCTATTATCTGATCTAATGGTTTTGATATTAGCTGAAAACTGAGTTTTGACCAAAGTAATGAAGGCTGAAATAAAAGTAACAACTTCACTTTTATATCTCAAGAGAAAAATCCATGTCATTCTAGAATAGTCATCAACAATAGTGAGGAAAAACCTATGACCATTATAAGTGCATTGCTTATAAGGTCCCCAAACATCCATATGAAGAAGTTCAAAAGGAAATACAGTTTTCTTAATGCTAGAAGGAAAAAGAGATCTGGTCTGTCTTGCAAGAGGACAGACAGGACATGATTCAAAAACTTGATGCTAAAAAACTGATTTTAGTGAATCAATCTTCTTAAGCACTGCAGCAGGAGCATGACCAAGCCTTAGATGCCATGTGGTGATAGCAGGAGTGTGGTTTGATCTGGAGGAGGAATTTGAAGAGAATGAAGAAGGATTGATTGAAGAGTTGGAGGAACTGAGATGAGATGCATTGGCAAGACATGGATGTGTGGTGTGTGGAAGTATGTAGAGACCTTCCTTTTCCTTACCAATCCCCCTCACCTTGCCAGTACAGAGGTCCTGAAATAAGCAGAAATGAGGATAAAAAGATACACAACAATTCAACTCTTTAGTTAGCTGAGAAACAGACAAGAGGTTATATGAAAATTGAGGCACATAAAGAGCATTGGAGATTTCATGATTGTGTAAGAATTTTGCTGAGCCAGTGTGGGTGACTGAGGTAGTGTGACCATTAGGTAATGAAACACTGTTAAAAGAATGATGTGCAGGAATAGGATTAAGTAGTCTATCCAAACTAGAAACCATATGATGTGTTGCCCTAGTGTCAACAATCCAAGGAAATGTATCGTCACCTACAGCAGAACAAACATGTGATATGTTGAATGTAGAAGGAGTACCATTGATACCTGCCATGTTAGCCATTGCCTCCTTTGATGCAGACTCCTTGTCAATCATTTTCAACAAATGGTTGTACTGATCATGAGTGAAAAATGGTACAGTTTGAATTGTATCAGGAGGTGGTTCATTCTCATCTTGATTGGAAGCATGATTCACATTATTTGCTTGTGGTCTTCTATTTCCAAAGGATTGGGACCTCTCAGCTCCATATGACTGACCTCTTCCACCCCTATCATCTCCACTTTTCTTCCTTGTGAATTTGAAGTTGGGAGGATAGCCAATCAACCTGTAGCAGTTGGCTCTTGTGTGGTTTCTCAGATGGCAATAATCACAATATAGTCCTATATTTTGACTGACTCTATTGTTATGTAAAGAAGCCAATGCAGTAGGGTCATGAACATCCAACTTTTGTAGAGGCAATACACAATTGGAAATCAAACTTGATTGGACCTTTTGACTTTCATCCTGCATAATCATGCTATAGGCTTGGTTAAGACTAGGACTAGGTATTGTCAAGAGTATTTGACTTCGCGACTGGGCAAAACTATCATTCAGTCCCATTAAGAACTGCATGAGTTTCTGCCTTTCCATGTGCTCTGCATACACTATATACTTGTCACACTCACAAGCTGGTAAGGGAACTAGAGACACATATTCGTCCCACAGATTTCTCAATTTAGAATAATACTCAGTTACAGTAAACACACCTTGACTCATTGTGCTAATCTCACGATGGACCTGGTAAATCCTAGTCAAATTTTGCTTATCAAATCTCTCATTTAAATCCTTCCAAACACTATGTGCATCATAAGAAAACATGAGCCCATTGGCTAGCTCTTTCGAAACTGAGTTGGTTATCCATGACAACACAAAACATTACATCTATTCCACTCATGTGCTAAATCACCTTTGTAATGATCTTTATGACACGTTCCATCAATAAAACCAATTTTATTCTTCGCTAACAATGCAACTTTCATGGAACTACTCCATCCAGTGTAGTTTTCCATGCCAGTAAGTTGTTGAGGAATTAGAACACTACCTGGAGTATCAGAAGGATGCAAATACGGAGGATTTCGAGGATGAATGTCAGTGAATTTCTTGATCTCCACTGGATCTGGTGCATTCCTCTCTTGGCTAGAAGATTCAGATATGCTAGCTCCATTCGCCATAGCTGCAGATCTTCAATTTCAGAATTGCGATTGATAAACGTTGATTCAATATTCAACTGTTATTCCAATCCCCAATTTGGGCGGAAAAAAATACTGTGTGTATCAACTCTATTCACCAGCTAGGATTCCATTGCTACAAGCTCTGATACCATGTTAAAAGTTGATCTCCTAGCTGTGTTTCAGACGAGTTGCAGTAGAGAAGAAGGAATGAAGAAAGGAAGAAGGAGAAGAAGAGAATGAATGAAACAGTGAAATGGAAATAACCGACTTCGTCTCTCATCATTTACAATGCCCTATTTACATCCAATACATGATTAGTAATCACACTAATTAACTTGCAAACTAACTCAATTGTTAAGCTAACTAATTCAACAAATAAGCTAACTAACTCTAACTAACTAAATTCATCACATGTAATACACATTTCAACATATGCAGTTGACAAAGCTTTTATAAAGGAAATTTGAATTTTCCCCCCAAAGAAAAAGATTTAAGCCGGTGATAATTATTTGTGTGCATTAATTTTATTTAATCATAGTAAGTTAATAGAATATGGTATAAACAATCGATTGATAACTATTAATAAATTCAATAATTAAAGAAGTATTAAGTTATATGTGATTTAAAATTGGTGAATACGAGATTGTTTCAATATAAAAACCTACAAATGCAAGTGTGGTTTTAACAACATATCTTACATAATCTTAGAAATATGAATATGTATTGATAAAGGAAAAATAATATTTTGCAAGATCTTTGAAATGATACAAATATAATTTTATCCTATAATAAAACTTTTTAAAATTTACAAGGAAAAATCAAACAAACAAAATTAAATCTTTGTCATGATCAATTATGGATGTGAAAATTGAAGAATATAAAAAGAGACATACATTTTGCTGCCAATATTGCCAAACATTGACTTTGTAATGACAACAAGCACAAAACAAGGAAGTGACATCAAGAGACAAGAATAAATTAATTTCACAACTTTCACGTGGTTGTGACTTGTGAACATGTTATTTCTTGCTTAAAAGCTTCTTTCATAATTAATTATTGTACATATTTATACTTCATTTAATTAGTTAATTCATACAAACACATGGTTGACAACTATTAACAAATTATGTTGAAAACGTATTATGTATTTTGTGATTAACGACTGATAAATTAAAAAATATTTATGTACAAAGACCTAAATTACAAGTGTAATTTTAGAACTATATCTTGCACCATATCAGCAATGTGATTCTATTTAGATATGTCAGGATAAAAAAAATTGGATCATGATGGCGCCTAATATAATCCCCGAGTAGGCAAGCCTAATCCAAACACAAGATGCAGAATATAACAGTTTAGATACAAATAATATAAAAAATCAGAAATAGAAATAGAATAAAGGTAACGGGTTGTATCATAAATATATTGTACGATACAAAGTATACA